AACGGTTGCACCGATGAAGAAAAATGCCTACTTTTCTTCCAGACCTTGCGGAATCGAGCCACTGAATGGTTCAATAAGCTTCGCCCGGGAAGCATTGACTCGTTCAGTGATTTGGCCTCAAAATTCAAGGCCAAGTTTCAGGAGAATTGTACTAAGAGGAAGAAGTTCACCTATCTTAGTACAACCGGGCAGAGGGAGTCTGAGAACCTCACTCAGTTCCTTACCCGGTGGAAGGAAGAGGTAGACAAGGTGGAAGAGATGGATGACAAGACCGTCCTCTCCCTCCTCTTGAATGGCTTGCGTGCTGGGGAACTATACAAGGAGTTCTGCCGGAAACCCCCGGCCACGTACCAAGAGGCCTACCATACGGCATGGGAGTTTGCTGAAGCTGAAACCCAGCTTCGGGCAAAGAGAGAAGCCGAGCATGGTCACAAGCCCAAGCCGGTGCAAGTCAAGAAGGAAGAAGCACCGGGACCTAGCCGGCCGAGGCACCACTATGACCCGGTCATCCGAGTGGTCAATACAGAAGAATGCCAAGAAGTCCGGAAAGCGCCGGTCATTCCTCCAGAAAACCCTACCGGTCAAGTAGGGCGGCAGTGGTCGGGCACCTATTGTTCGTACCACAGGTCTGATTCCCATAACACCTCCGAATGCAAGAGTGTTAAAGGGGTCATCCGGCAGATGATCGACAGTGGAGAGCTGGGCAAAGATTACTTGCAGAAAGCTCAGGAGAAGAGTCATCAGTGGGTTAGGCCAACTGCCCCAGGGAATGACCGGGATAATGACAGGCGGAGGAATAACCGGCCAAAGGAGCGGCAACCTGCCCCCGAAAAAGAACACATCGGCATGATCTTCGGCGGACCCGAGGGTGGAGATTCAGCCGCGCAGCGGAAGAACTGGGTCCGGAGCATTTACGTTGGAGAGGTAAGTGCTGAACCGCCCAGGCGTAAGCATACTAGGAGGGAGCCTATCGTCTTTACTGACCGGGATCTCCCTCCTACCGGTGAAGATCACAATGATCCATTGGTCATCACCATGGACATTAA